GAGAGAGAGAGAGAGAGAGAGAGAGAGAGAGAGAGAGAGAGAGAGAGAGAGAGAGAGAGAGAGAGAGAGAGAGATAGAGAGAGAGAGAGAGAGAGTTATACAAGATTGGTTGTGCAGTTCGACGAAGAAGGGAGTGGTGGCCATAGCCGCAGAGCTCGGACACGGGGTTGACGAAGGAAGGAGAAGTGGAGACGGGAGGAGGGACCGGAGTGGAAGAGGAAGACATAGCTGAGGAAGGAGGAAGGAGGGGCAATGAAGTGGAAGACAGACATAGCCGAGGGTGAACAAAAAGAAAAAAAGAAGAAAAAGAAGAGAAGGAGAGAAAAAAAGGTGAAGGAGGGGGAAAGAGAAGTGAAGGGTGGCAAGGAAGGAGGTGCCAGCAGCCAGAGTCGACTTGGAGGTTGATCGGGCGTTGACCAAGGGTTGACCGGAGCTGTTGACCATGATTTTGACCAAGCTGGAGTTGGTAAAATCTCGCCAAGCCCTTAGCCTGTCCCCTCGCCCTATGGATGTGCACTCACCCTATGGTACTTGCCGAGTCTGAGTCTGTTTGTCTCTTCTTCCTGCATTGAGTCTCTTTTGTCCAGGTGATAGGACTCCGTGTATGAAGGATAGGGTCTCGTTGACCAAACCCACACGGGCTGAGTAGGGCTAAAGACTGTGTCTGACGACTCGACTGTCCTGAGTAGAGCTAAAGACTGTGTCTGACGACTCGACTGTCCCAGAGGACACAAACCCTCCCAAGGACCGGTACTGACCGGCGGGCTGCTCGGTGTGGCACGGTAGGCCCAAAATCCGAGTTGTGGGCTGCACAATGGGCCGTCTAAGTCTTGAGAGGATCTGCTGACCTCGTCGTCCTGTTTGCGACGGTAAAGAATTCATGAGGAGTTACGGGGGATCTCCTTTAATGCCTCGTGGTCAGCAACAAATCCTGTAATGACGGCTGTAGTATTACAGTCTAGGCTAGAGACCATAGTTGACAGGGTTCTATACGGGTCCTGTGGTCCATAGACTGAGTCAGTCTTAAGTTGAGTCAGTTAGGGAGAGAGTCTAAGTGGTGAGGAGCGGAACTAACACTTGGTTGTGCGTATGTCACCATTGTAGAGACGCGTACGGGAACGAGCACCTCCCCTTACACAGCAGAGCAGGATCCGAAGACCACCGCCATCCTGAAAGAGAGAAGAGAGGAGGCCAAGAAGAAGGCCCTGATAGAGGAACAACGACCAAATTGAAGAAGATTGAGGAAGAGATGGTCAGAGAGAGAGAGAGGCTGAGGATAGAGCAGGAAGAGAAGTTGAAGGCGGTAGAAGAGTAGGAAGAGGTAGAAGAACAACCACTGGAAAGGAGAAGAAGGGGGCAAGGAGGTGAATCCAGTGGTACAACGGAAGATCAGATGGAAAAGAAGATTACAGAATGGGTTGCTGGTTATCCCTGGGAGAAGAAGAAGAGGCACTAATGTATGTGCCGAGGTAAGAACAAGAGGCGGCCATGAGAGAGTGGGATGCAGAAGAAGACCCACTCAAAGCGGCAACCTATAGAAGATGAGAAGAGGATGGAGTGGAAGTTTCGATTGATGAGGGAGAGGAAAAGGAGAATGGAGGCGGCGAGCCAGGCGGCGAAAGAATTAGCGGAGGTAAAGAAGCAAAGAGAGCAGATGGCGACGCAGGTGGACCTATTGGGGAAGATGGAGATAATGGGGAGAAACATAGAGCGCCTGGCACATGTCCAGGAAGAACAATATCTGTTTGGTAGAGGTTGGGACATTGCCTTACGCTCTATACGGCTGGGGCTCAGGGACTTCGCAAGGGAATTGGCGACGCAGGTGGGCTTGGAGGTAAGGGCCCACCTAGAGGGCACAGAACGTTATTGCACGGGCGCCATAGAAGGCGCCAAACTGGTCGCTCCCAAGGAGGAGGAGGAACGTCCCTGTAGGGAGCCTGTCTAGGTCAAATTCCTGGATTCCTACAGCGGGAAGGAGGAGGAAAATTTTGAGAATTGGGAAGCCAATATCAAAACATACGTGCACCTACAGAAAGTCTCCCCGGATGAGCATGTCCTGATAGCCATCCATGCCCTTCGGGACGAAGCGGCAAGCTTCGCCCGTTCCCTCTGTCGTGCCGCCAATTGCAACGATGATCCCGTTGCCTATTTTGCGTTCACGCC